AGGCTAAACTGCACACAAACGTGCCACGCCCGCCTCGGCCGGCTGCTAAGACGGAACGTCCTGAACCAATGTATCTTTCGTATGCATCTGCTGTTGGACAGCAGAAGAGCAAGGGAAACAACGTGCGATGCTTCCGGTGCGGAAACATGGGTCACTACACACGTGAGTGTACGGCACCAGTACACTCAAGCCAAGGTCGACGTGGCGATACTGGGTATCGTCACGGTCGAACAAAAACGCAAGGGACCAGTAGGCGCGGGGCGCTCTACTGGCAATGTAGTCACGCGTGTCTACAACGGACACGCGGTATTGAGGACTGCAGCCCCCCGTGAGAGGGAATCTCACTGCGACGTACAAGATGGCATGCCAAACCTTGTCATCTTGAAGGTGAAGTCGATGACGAAGAGAGCGGACTCTCTTCGGGTGTTGCTTGACTCGAGCGCGTCGAACAAATTTGTTCGACAGCAAAGTTTGCCGCTGTTGGACTTTGAGGAGAAGCATGTGCCTCGAAGTCAGTTGGAAGAGCGATTAGCAACGGGTGCCATCGTAAAGACCGAGAAGCGCGTTATTCCCGCACGCTTCTCGTACAAACACCGGGTGTTTGTAGAAGAACTTCTCGTCCTGGACTTGGACGACAAGTTCGACATGGTGTTGGGCATGCCATGGCTTACACGGTATGATCCTACAATCGACTGGGAGAAGCGTACGGTCGTATGCTTCGGACACCGCGGCGCAACGGAGAGCGATGACCCTGTTAGCGCAGCGGATACACCAAATGGTGCATCCGAATCTCCTTCAGAGACCGTGGCTCACGCCGCTGTCTCTGGTCGCAGCGCGAAGAGCGCGCGAGCTGTAACGTCTCCGGGAGTCGTTGACAGTAAAATAGTGTCTGGTCAGGGACCAGACACTTCCAGAATGTTCTCCGCCGTAAGGCGTCGAGGAGATAACAGCGTGTCGACTCCGGGAGTTGATACGCGCTCGATATCAGAATCGAGAAAGTTCTCCGCCGTG